ATTTTATCGAACATGCACGAAACCTATTTTCCTTTGTATCTTGACTCGGAAGAGACACGTGTAAATGAATCGGGTAAAAGACGAGAATATGTGTGTGTTCGGTTGTGCTTAAAATCCAATTAAAATTGAAAATATAGTCGTTATTAGATCTCACTCGTCTAATAAAAGTCAATAGCTAATTTTTCAATTTTAATCTGATTTTAATCTCTACCGAACACGCCCTATATATATATAAGATGTCTCATCTAGAAGGAACAATCAAAATTTGTTTAAATGTACTAAGATAATGGACAAAAGAGGGCTAAAAAATTGGCTTTTTATTATTCTCATTACATAAAAAAAATTATCATTATAAAACAATTTAAGCAAAGATTCACATCTATTTAGAGTTTTGTATGATCGTAAAAAAAAAGAGAGAGGTTAAAGAAGATAAAATGTGTAATTTTTTCTTATAAACTTTTTTTCATCAGCGATCGAATAGGACATAGTCTCACACTGAGACTAACTTCTATAAATTTTAGGGGTTTTGAGTATCTATTTTTTCTTTCGGCGAATGAATTGCTCTCGATGGAATATAATTATAATTTTTATTTCTCAACAATAATATGGTATTCATGAGCACAATCTCATTATTCTTTCTCCATTGTGCAAGTTATACTACTCAACTTGGCATCGATTATGGTTGTAATCAACAGGGCTTAAACAGCTTGTTCCGTATAGAATACATAAAGAATACTAAAAAATCTTATTCGTTTTTACCTAGTTAATAGTCATATGTAGTGTGTGGGGATAAATATCTCAATTTTCACTAAACTATCTAAAATGTTTCTCAATCATCGTTGAATTTTAAATGCAAGGCTAGTAACATAAGCCGATAATATGTTACACGTGTCTTTTAGACACTTGTTCTTGTTGAATGGAGGGTTCTGGTTTCAGCTTTCATCTCCCATCTTGAGTGAATAAAACCAGGAATCAATTTCGTATATCGCGCACAAATTTGATATTCACACCAAATAAAGAATGAACATCCTCTCATGTCGTATACAAAATTTACAGTGAAGTACATCTCTTAAATCAGATTAAATTCAAGAAATTTTTGAAAAATAGGAGCTCACGAGGCTAGCTTATCTTAGTTGGTAAGCGAAAAATCATATGTTCGTGTTCAAATCTGTCCACGAGGTCTTCATATGCATCGGGGCTCTGCAATTGCAGCTATTCAATTCATGGCTGAAAGGAAAATGATAGACTGTGAAAGAGAGAGAGAGAGTTATGTATTACTCAAAATAGGAGGGAAAAAAAACAGTAGATTTTGGAGGAAAATTAGAAAAGGTAAAGAAACTATTTTGCCATTCATTGGATTGATCAAAATTTGGTAAGAGTCATGTCCTACGACGGAAATCGTCCAGATATCCTTGTATCATTCAATTTTTAAAAGATTTAGGACGAATCTTCCTTTAATTTAAAGGTTTAGGACTATCTATATTTTTAAAAGGTTTGACACCTCCATTACAAATTTTCCTTTTCCTTTTGAAGCCAGAATTGATTTTACTTGATACCTAACATAATGCATGAANAAAGTTTAGTCGTAACTGAGAAACATTTAGAAAAATTTTGGAATATTTAACCGAAGTTCTGGACGGTATAATAAACAACATGTGAGCAGTGTGAACTTACTAAAATATTAATACATCTGTCACTGTGTCATTTGTTGTTTTAAAAGTTAACAGTATAAGTGGCATGATAGATGAAATGATGGAGGGAATAATGTTTTGCTAAGTTCATCAAGTCTTTTATCTTTTAAAATAACGAGTGACACGGCAGCAAATGAGATAACATTTTAATAAGTTCAATGGAAACTTGAAGAGCTTTGAAAGTTCAACGGCAATAGAAAAACGTTTGGAAAAGTTTAGTCGTAACTGAGAAACATTTAGAAAAATTTTGGAATATTTAACCGAAGTTCTGGACGGTATAATAAACAACATGTGAGCAGTGTGAACTTACTAAAATATTAATACATCTGTCACTGTGTCATTTGTTGTTTTAAAAGTTAACAGTATAAGTGGCATGATAGATGAAATGATGGAGGGAATAATGTTTTGCTAAGTTCATCAAGTCTTTTATCTTTTAAAATAACGAGTGACACGGCAGCAAATGAGATAACATTTTAATAAGTTCAATGGAAACTTGAAGAGCTTTGAAAGTTCAACGGCAATAGAAAAACGTTTGGAAAAGTTTAGTCGTAACTGAGAAACATTTAGAAAAATTTTGGAATATTTAACCGAAGTTCTGGACGGTATAATAAACAACATGTGAGCAGTGTGAACTTACTAAAATATTAATACATCTGTCACTGTGTCATTTGTTGTTTTAAAAGTTAACAGTATAAGTGGCATGATAGATGAAATGATGGAGGGAATAATGTTTTGCTAAGTTCATCAAGTCTTTTATCTTTTAAAATAACGAGTGACACGGCAGCAAATGAGATAACATTTTAATAAGTTCAATGGAAACTTGAAGAGCTTTGAAAGTTCAACGGCAATAGAAAAACGTTTGGAAAAGTTTAGTCGTAACTGAGAAACATTTAGAAAAATTTTGGAATATTTAACCGAAGTTCTGGACGGTATAATAAACAACATGTGAGCAGTGTGAACTTACTAAAATATTAATACATCTGTCACTGTGTCATTTGTTGTTTTAAAAGTTAACAGTATAAGTGGCATGATAGATGAAATGATGGAGGGAATAATGTTTTGCTAAGTTCATCAAGTCTTTTATCTTTTAAAATAACGAGTGACACGGCAGCAAATGAGATAACATTTTAATAAGTTCAATGGAAACTTGAAGAGCTTTGAAAGTTCAACGGCAATAGAAAAACGTTTGGAAAAGTTTAGTCGTAACTGAGAAACATTTAGAAAAATTTTGGAATATTTAACCGAAGTTCTGGACGGTATAATAAACAACATGTGAGCAGTGTGAACTTACTAAAATATTAATACATCTGTCACTGTGTCATTTGTTGTTTTAAAAGTTAACAGTATAAGTGGCATGATAGATGAAATGATGGAGGGAATAATGTTTTGCTAAGTTCATCAAGTCTTTTATCTTTTAAAATAACGAGTGACACGGCAGCAAATGAGATAACATTTTAATAAGTTCAATGGAAACTTGAAGAGCTTTGAAAGTTCAACGGCAATAGAAAAACGTTTGGAAAAGTTTAGTCGTAACTGAGAAACATTTAGAAAAATTTTGGAATATTTAACCGAAGTTCTGGACGGTATAATAAACAACATGTGAGCAGTGTGAACTTACTAAAATATTAATACATCTGTCACTGTGTCATTTGTTGTTTTAAAAGTTAACAGTATAAGTGGCATGATAGATGAAATGATGGAGGGAATAATGTTTTGCTAAGTTCATCAAGTCTTTTATCTTTTAAAATAACGAGTGACACGGCAGCAAATGAGATAACATTTTAATAAGTTCAATGGAAACTTGAAGAGCTTTGAAAGTTCAACGGCAATAGAAAAACGTTTGGAAAAGTTTAGTCGTAACTGAGAAACATTTAGAAAAATTTTGGAATATTTAACCGAAGTTCTGGACGGTATAATAAACAACATGTGAGCAGTGTGAACTTACTAAAATATTAATACATCTGTCACTGTGTCATTTGTTGTTTTAAAAGTTAACAGTATAAGTGGCATGATAGATGAAATGATGGAGGGAATAATGTTTTGCTAAGTTCATCAAGTCTTTTATCTTTTAAAATAACGAGTGACACGGCAGCAAATGAGATAACATTTTAATAAGTTCAATGGAAACTTGAAGAGCTTTGAAAGTTCAACGGCAATAGAAAAACGTTTGGAAAAGTTTAGTCGTAACTGAGAAACATTTAGAAAAATTTTGGAATATTTAACCGAAGTTCTGGACGGTATAATAAACAACATGTGAGCAGTGTGAACTTACTAAAATATTAATACATCTGTCACTGTGTCATTTGTTGTTTTAAAAGTTAACAGTATAAGTGGCATGATAGATGAAATGATGGAGGGAATAATGTTTTGCTAAGTTCATCAAGTCTTTTATCTTTTAAAATAACGAGTGACACGGCAGCAAATGAGATAACATTTTAATAAGTTCAATGGAAACTTGAAGAGCTTTGAAAGTTCAACGGCAATAGAAAAACGTTTGGAAAAGTTTAGTCGTAACTGAGAAACATTTAGAAAAATTTTGGAATATTTAACCGAAGTTCTGGACGGTATAATAAACAACATGTGAGCAGTGTGAACTTACTAAAATATTAATACATCTGTCACTGTGTCATTTGTTGTTTTAAAAGTTAACAGTATAAGTGGCATGATAGATGAAATGATGGAGGGAATAATGTTTTGCTAAGTTCATCAAGTCTTTTATCTTTTAAAATAACGAGTGACACGGCAGCAAATGAGATAACATTTTAATAAGTTCAATGGAAACTTGAAGAGCTTTGAAAGTTCAACGGCAATAGAAAAACGTTTGGAAAAGTTTAGTCGTAACTAAGAAACATTTAGAAAAATTTTGGAATATTTAACCGAAGTTCTGGACGGTATAATAAACAACATGTGAGCAGTGTGAACCATGAACCAACAAAATGAAAAATTGTGCAAGTATCATATCCTATATTTATGGTTGTGGTTGAACATAGGCCTTTATCATAGCCACTTTATTAGCTTAAAGTTTGATGAAAAGAGTCTTTTAACTTAGAGAAAGGATGCTATTCCTTTGTAAGCATTAACAATGACATTTAAGTGGAGGGAATCGCATTTTTTTTTTTTCCTCAATCATAATGATTCATAATTAAAAGAATTTATATTCATAGTTATCAATTCCAACAGAAGTCAGCAACAAGAGACTCTGCCCCTATATAAGTAGAACCAAGACAGTTGCCTACACCCCAGCAATTTTAGCAATCTTGAGTGATACAATATAAGTAATCCTGTGTGTGTTGGTACTTAACGAACCAGATGGAGCAAACAAAAAACCAGAAAACGCTAAACGTTGATGAAGAAAAATGGGTTTATGATTCTTCTGTTGATCATAAAGGCAGAGTTCCCGTCCGAGCTTCCACCGGTGCATGGAAGGCTTCCCTTTTTATCATTGGTGAGTAATCCAATAGACTACACCGGTTCAGTTTAATTTTCTCATATGCACTGCATCCACTTTTCGGACGTGGTTGTTGCACAATATTAGATAAATTTTAATATTTTTTTTCTTTATTAGAAACATAGCCTAGTTTGTTTTTATCATCGTCTATACAATCATATGATAATCGATTAACAAGATGTGACTGTAGAAGGAAATCTCTGTAGTTCCATTTACAAGAAATGATGTTTGAGTGCATCAGTTTCACCAATAATAGGTACAGTGGTACATCAAACATAGGTTTCTAGTACAGCAACTGTATAGAAAGTAGATCTCTTTCGTTTGAGTCCGCTAATTGCTAAAGTGTGTTAAATAAAACTCTAGCTGGATTCCATCCTAAACATATGTGGAGGAAACTTCCTAAACACGGTACACTTTTTTAGCATGTATTAGATTCTTTTTGTTTAGAACAGGAAAAAAATGTCAAACTGATACATTTTTTGCATTGGCAGCAATTGAATTCAGTGAGAGGTTGAGTTACTTTGGGCTAGCAACAAGTTTAATCATATACCTTACCAAGGTGATCCATCAAGACCTAAAAACTGCAGCAAAAAGTGTCAACTATTGGAGTGGGGTAACCACTATGATGCCACTGTTTGGAGGATTTATAGCTGATGCTTACGTTGGCCAGTTCTCTACTGTTCTTGCCTCATCCATTGTTTATCTCATGGTACTATAAAGTTCTTATTCTTTTGATGGAAAATATTCAACAAAATTTTCGTTGTCGCATAAGTGTTATTCATAACATTTTTCTTTGCAAAAGAAAGTGAATATGTCAATTATTTTGGTATGGACGCAATCAAAATCGAAATGCACCAGCGACTTGTTTCGTAAGATGGATTGAACAATATTGTAAGGTACTATGAAACAAATAGTTGCTTCAATGCCAATTCTTGGAAAGATGAATGTGTTCATAAGTGAGAGAAACACTGTCTATTGTATAGTCATGTCATGTCATGTCATATTCAGTACTAAGTACCAAATGTGCCATCCAAATTAGCTAATCGCTAAATAATGTGTTTGTTTTTGATATGATAACAGGGCTTGCTTCTTTTGATAATGTCAAGATTAGTCCCAGGCTTGAAACCTTGTGATTCTGGGTTGTGCCATGAACCCCATAAGGTCCATGAGGTGGTGTTCTTTATTGCAATCTACTTGATTTCAATAGGAACTGGAGGGCATAAACCCTCTCTGGAGAGCTTTGGAGCCAATCAATTTGATGATGATCATCCTGAAGAAAGAAAGAAGAAAATGTCATTTTTCAATTGGTGGAATTTTGGGCTCTGTTGTGGCCTATTACTTGGTGTAACTTTGATTGTCTACATTCAAGACCATGTTAGCTGGGCTGCAGCAGATATCATTCTTACAGCAGTCCTGGCTTCAACTATTGTGATATTCTGTATGGGACGGCCATTTTATCGTTATAGGAAGGCAGCAGGAAGTCCTCTGACACCCATGTTACAGGTTCTTGTAGCAGCTATTGCCAAGAGAAATGTTCCATATCCATCTGCTCCTGATCAGTTGTATGAGGTTCCTGAATCAGACAAGACTAGAGCGAGGCTTCTGTACCACACCGATAAGCTTAAGTAAGACATTTATCAGTTTAGTTCTACAATTCCAAGTTTGTCATATCTCTAACAGTTTAAACTTTTAGACGAAGGGTTTTCAATAAAGATGAATAAAGTGATCGATCTATTATCATCCTATTGTTCAGGTTTCTTGATAAAGCTGCAATAATCGACGACAAGCAAAACAAAGCAGAGGAGAAACAGAATAGTAATCAATGGAGACTTGCAACTGTGACCAGGGTGGAAGAATTGAAGCTTATTATCAACATAATTCCAATATGGCTAACTAGTTTGCCATTTGGAATCTGCGTAGCACAGACCGCAACATTCTTCATCAAACAAAGCGCAACAATGAACAGGACAATCTCTCACAATTTTGTGATCCCACCAGCCACAGTTTATGCCCTTGGTGCCATCGGAATGATAATATCAGTCACATTTTACGATAGACTCCTCGTACCCTTGCTACGAAGGGTAACAGGAAATGAAAGAGGCCTAAAAATTCTTCAAAGAATTGGTTTTGGGATGATTTTCTCTATTATAACTATGGTAGTAGCAGCATTGGTTGAAAGGAAAAGGCTAAATATTGTGGAAAAGAATCCTCTCGAAGGCTCGATTTCAATGAGTGTATTTTGGCTGGCACCCCAGTTTCTCATCATTGGTATAGGGGATGGATTTACTCTAGTGGGATTGCAAGAGTACTTTTATGACCAAGTCCCTGATTCAATGAGAAGCTTAGGCATTGCATTGTACCTTAGTGTAATTGGGGCTGCAAATTTTCTTAGCAGTCTTTTGATTACATTAGTTGATCATATTACAGAGAAGAGTGGCAAAAGTTGGTTTGGGAAGGATTTGAATAGCAGCAGATTGGACTGTTTTTACGGGTTATTAGTGGTTATTACGTCACTGAATCTGTGCATTTACGTGTTTGTTGCGAGACGATATTCTTACAAGAATGTGCAAAGGACTACAATGGCTGTTGCTGACTGCTATGGAAGTGGTAGAATTGAAGCAATGGCTTGATACATTTGTGCCATTCAGAAGGTCCTGGTGTCATTTTCTTAGTCAAGAAAGTAATATGAAAATTCAAAAAGGATGGTTTCGATTTAGTGTGTATGGATTCCCAGTTTGTCACTATAAAGTCAGTAGAAATGATTGTATAATTCAGCTTAATTTGGTTCGAAATTATGCTTTTCTTATGTTTCAATTATACTTTTTACAGCATATTAAATTTTGCATTAAGTTACATGGAAAAAATAAGTTAAAATTAGTAGTGATTTTTTTTTTACTTTTAATTAAGAGAAAATACTTTTTTTTAGAAACTCATTCATATTTAACTGGTAAAATAAGTATCTTAATTATTATGAACTTTGTTTGATAAAAAAAATAATAATTAATTCATTTTGTCTTATTTATGTTTTGTAAAGTACTTATAAATCAATTTAGTAATGCATAAGCTTTTTTATGGTAAACCAAACATGCTCTTAAGTAATCGAAACAATATCACAACTAACAATTGTTTAGGAATGTGACCGTCCAAAATTTTTAAGATAGTGTTTGTTACTACTATTGGGCCGGGCCGTGTAGAGCCCAGATCCTCGCAGGGCCTGACATTTTAGACGAGAAGGTAAATTTTCTTGTTCAATAGATTATATATTCTACACATTTTTTCAACTGTCAATTTCAACAATCTTTTGATAAAGTTATTCTCTCAAAAATTAGGTATACTGGGAATGAACAACGAAACAGTCAAACCAAAAAATCGAATAAAAATCGCTTTTTTGAAACTATTGGTTTGCTTCCACGTGGATCCATCAACGTTTTGATTTTTGAACCGAACCAAATCGCTCGAAGGGGTTTCGTTTAGGTTTTAATCTTTATAAACCGTCAAATCTTTTACCAAAAAAAAAAAAAAAATCTAAAAAATATTAGTCTAAATGTTATTTAACCCAATTAAAACTAAACACATTCTAGTTAAAAAAATGCATCCATATTAGACATAATGCAATTAAACTCAATCAAACAATTATATATTTCAATTGATTAATTAAATTATATCCAAATACCCATGAGTTATCACTACTGTAAATGTAAAATCCTCAAATTGGGTAAAGTGTTGAACAATTGTTACTAAATCATATTCATTGACTCTTCGCTACAATTGAGTAGATAATTAAATTTTAATTTTAACTCAAACTCGCACATTTTATTTCCTTCTACTAATAATTTTCTCGAGTTTTGCCTAAATTTCAAGTCAGATTATCCCAAAATTTTTTTATTTTTTGATAATTGTCTGCTGTGTTTTTATTGGTAGTTATTTTGTTTTGTTCTAATTATTGTCAGGCTCCCTTAAATTTTTAGGCCACGGCATTTTTTGTTTATTTGTATCTCGATTGTCTGGTCAAGTCATTTATTTAATTATTTACATTTAAATTTAATTTCTAAATTTTACTTTTAATTGCTATAATGAAATGGTGAATTACATAAATGGTAATTTTAAAGATTTGATCAATAAACTTTTCGACATATTAATTTGGTAAAAATTGNATGGATTCTAACCAATGCTAAAACCATCTAAGTCAACACGAGTTCGTTGACTTAATCAGTACAACGGATGAAATTTCTTTAGACTTCTCCAAATTATTCACATTAAAAATTAGAATTTGTTTAATTAATAATTAGAGACGCTCACAATATGAAGAGCAACCCTCTCGTAACTTCACAAAACTTTGCTGCCATGTGGTCCTAACTATAAGAAATTGAGCTCTAAAATTAACCCAAATAGTGCCTTGGTTATATATTGTCTTTTGTCTGTTTTGTGCAAATCGTTCATATTTCTTTTTTCAATATAACGCATTTTACGCTCGGATCAAGTAAATATTGTGCAAGTTGTCTCCACTGTCCATTGCATCCATTACGACCTTGTAAAATGACAAATATATACTCCCTTTTGTTTCTTGCTCTGGTTGGAGAAGGGATTTTATTTTTTATTTTTTTATTGTTCTAAATGGAATTCGTTCTCTGATTGCAATTTTTTTTTCTTTTTTTTTTTTTAAAAAAAAAATTAAAGAGGAGGGTAAATTTGTTATTTTACAAGGTTTTAATGAAGGAAATGGATGGTAGAAACAATTTGCACAACGTTGCTTGATCTGAGGGTGAAATGCACCAAATTAAAATGATAGGAACGATTTGCACAAAACGAACGAAGTATAGATATATTTTATGTCAATTATCCTTGTTTTAATTGTTCCACTCACTTTAATAATTACTTTTCTGTAACCAAAGAAAAATTTAATGACAGTTAAATTGGCTGAGCCTGGATTTGAGCCTGTATTTGGGCCTGGATTTGTAGCACGATTCTACCTATAAATTGGCTGAATTTTCAGTTACCTATAAAATTAGAACTATTTTTTTCAACAAAAATACAAGTCTTCAATTTTCTGTTTTGAGATACTTCGTTAGTGGCGGACACCTCGTGAAACTATACTATGTTTTTCGACATTTTCGTGATCCTATCAGTTATAGTAGTTTATTTATTTTTATTTAATTAATTTTGTAGAATTTGATTAGTTGACGTTTGGGCTCTGAACTGGGTCGGGCTGTAGCTTGGTCATGTTCCCTGCCCAATAAAACAAAATATTTTGTACATAAACCCAAATTTTTTTTTTAATTTTTAACCACACATCCTCCTAAATATCACAATTTAAAACTCTATTTTCTCCAAATAATGATTGCCAAACAAGGGTTTAATCATTTGATTTTATTAAGTAAAATTATGATGCATCTATAACTTTCTATTTCAACACAAAATACGCTGATGCTTGTCGTTTCTTGCGTTGCTCGACAACTCTAAATCATAGGTTAAATTTGCAAAGAGGGGATGAGAAACTGGTCCTCAGTCCTGTTACACTAGGAAGAATATGTCAGGAAAAAGAAATGGGATTTTACAATATGTAAAAATGTTCTTACATTTTCCCTTGAATGAAGGGTTCGTTAAGGAGGCTTTCTATACCGACAGCGTGTCCTTTGACAATTATTGTCATATAGGGATAGGACCAGCGTTTTAAGGTTTCCTGGACTTCCATTTTAGATAGGGGAAGGTTGAATTCTCAATTTAGAGTTTGATTGGGAGGGATTAAAATTGAAAATATAGTCTTTAGAGTTGATTTTTATTAGACGAGTGAGACCCAATAACAACTATATTTTCAACTCTAATTGAATTTTAATCCTTCCCAAACAAGTTAGGATATGATCAGTAATTCAACTCAACTTTTAGTTGATGACGAGATTATTGTGATCTCAAGATATGATTACTTTATCTCCAGACACTACAAATTGTCGTTCTCGAGTCGTCAAGTTTGAAATTTTTTGCTCATTTGTCGTTATGTATCATCTAATTATACAAGCCATGTCAATATGGCTTGTCGGTTTGAGCAACTCGGGTTCGGCCCTGAAAAAGTCCGAGTCGAGCCGACTCGTGGCTAGGTAGGACTGAGCCTGGGCCTGCCCGTGAATTAAAAAAAAAAGCTTACAACTGTAATTTTTTTCATCTGTTAATATTTAGTTATTATTTATAATACGTATAAATTGCACAATTTTTTAAATTCTTTAAAAAAATTTAGATTTATCACGAATTGTTTTTTAAAAAAAGGTCGGGTCGGGACGGATCGGGTCGGGTCGCTAAGGCCCGAGTGTAAATTTGTTGGCCGAGCTGCCAAAAAAAGTTCGAACCATTTTTACTCGAGTCAAGCTCAAGTAAAAAGTTTTGGCTCGTGACTCGACTCGTTGACACCCCTAATTATACCACGTGTTTGACATTGCTCAATCGATATCGATCACTTTAGTGCCAGATCGTTCCAAAAAAATCTCTGGTATGATGTCAAGATGAGTTGTTGGTACCATCTTATGAGGATTTGAATAATATTTAGGCCATGTTTGACACTTATTCTCTATCTCATTTTTTTCTTACTTCATTTCAACCACACATTCTTTCAATAAAATAATATTACACACAAATTTAAAATTTTTCATAATTTTTTTACCACACATTCTCTCATCAATCACTATTCTAAAAATTTTTATCTTCGAAAAATGGGTGTCAAACACACCATAAATATACTCCTTTCTTTACATTTTTGTCGACATTCTATTTTTCGAAAATTATGGACTGAAAAATTATTTTTATTTGTCCAATGATATTTTATCACGTGTCGTGAAATAATATAAAGGACAACGTAAAAGATGAATGATTGATGAGGATATGTGTGTGGTACATTTTACCTTGTCGTCGTATTGTCACAGCCTATTTTCGTACCTAGTATAGTATTACATTTACATAAGTGTAGAGAACTCTGCTGACAGCTTGTGGGACCCATAAACAGAGATCAACTTTGAATACGAATTTCGAGGGCTTAATCGGACGGCTCTTGATTAACGAAAAAAAGCTCTATCGGACAGAGCTTGCATCAGAGCTCTTAATTGATAAAGTTTGCACTTTGCAGTCATAAAACGTCAAGAGATCCATTTTCACAAGTACGCATAGCACTTTCAAAATTGGAATTATTTTTTTGTATAAAATTTGACAGCGAAAATATAAATATAAATCAATTTATAAAGGTATAAATTATTCCTTTAATAAAGTTGATTTTTTAAAATAGAACCATAAATGACAAATCTTAATATAATATTAAAACTCATTAAACTCCAACGAACAATTCGATTTGTTTAAAACTGAAAAAAGTGCACACGAATTTTAAGATTGGTTCCCTCGAATAAGTCACCATCTTGTGAGAGTATGTTAAGTGATAAAATCTCACATCGAATAAAGATGAAAATATAGACCAATTTATAAGAGTTTGATCTACTCCTCTTATAAGGTTGACATTTTAAAATGGAACCCCAAATTTTAACACACTATTAGATCACCAACGGTTGCAATTGCTAGTGACAATCGTCACCCGTTATTCATCACAAGATACATACTTGTAGAGGCCGTTACCCACAAGCTCTACTAGTCTAAGAGA